CGGGTGCAAGATTTCCTGCTTGTTTATAACCTCATACTGTTCATTAAGAGCCAGCTTGTTATTTTTCTTGTCCTAAGGTAGAATGTATACAACAGTCACGATAACAGCTGAAAACCCCCTCGAGAGGTAGAAGGATCGACATTTGACCATAAGGCATTCCAAGACAGGTAAACAATGGGTTGAGACTTCCACTGCGCTCAAGTCGGCATGCCATTTGTTGTTGATGAAGAGGCAAACCCCTCCCCATCTCAATTTCCCTGACTCTACTGTCCTGTCCGCTCGGTGAATGGAGAATCCATTGAGTTAGATAGCCATGGGTGGTATCTTGTCCGAAAGCCATGTTTCAGAAAAGCAGAGACTATTGCAGCTACGAGAATCCCGTTGGTAAAAATCTGTGATCTAAGGTCATCCATCTAATTATCAAGTGACCAATGGAATGGAGGTTTTTCCCTTCGCCTTAATCCCCCCAGGACTCCCCCTCTCTGTAACGCCGGCATTTCCTCTTGGATACCCTGAAAATTGGGTCAGAATTACAGAAAGAGACCAGGGCAGATGAGTCGAGTCGAAGTTGAAGCTGGAATTGAGGGAAGTAACTGCTGATCTGATATTGAAAAGTTCTTGTCAGTTATAAGAAATGATAGTGGATACATTTCATAAAATAAAGTAAAAATAAACGCCAAAACAATCACAAAATAACAAAGTTGGGTCGGAGCTTGCAAAACAACGGCCATACAGTACGGTGCCATCTTTTACCCTTTTAGATATGCCAAATCTATTGATTGATGGATAAGTTCATGATGAATGTCTGCTGTTGCTGGGACACTTGTCAGCTACCTATCAATGATGATAAAACAAACTATAGCTCTTTGACAAAGCAAGTTCCTTTGGTTGCCTTGATAAAAGTCAATGCGATCGTGTGAAGATATTTGGCACATTCCTCTGCCCAGGCGTTGCTGACGCATGCCAAATCTTCAAACACCTGGATAGGTATTTTAAGTACCGGTTGAAACTGGAATTATTTCCCAATCGTTTCGTTCTGAACAGAACCATATTTCTTTTAGTTCCATTTTTTAGTTCCATTTTCTGTTCCATTGTTCTGACCAGCAAAATAAAGTTCTGAAAAGTCACAGTTTATATCGTTCCTTTCTGTTACTTTTGAAACCTCAAAATCATTTAAATTAATTTTTTACATTTAGTTTCGACATAAAGCTATTGGACAGACAAGTGTAGGGCGCGAGATGTGACTGAAATTTTGCAGGTGGGGAGAGAGCAAGATTGTGTGTGCAGAGCGGCACCAGAATTAAAATTACAACACGTCTTACCTTTTTGTAGTTAATAAATCCAATGTGAAAAGTGACAACTATAGCATCCTTAACTAATCCAATCTTCTCTATTAAAAAATCTCTCTCCCTAATTTCTGAATCACGATTGTAACATCAGTAGGCTACAGTAGACTATTCTTTGGAGGGGGAGGGGCAGGTAGCCTACACATGCACTCACACTGGCAAAGATTTTCAGCTGGCAGGCAGCCAGACATTGGAATATGTTTCTGAGTGACAGAGTGAGGGCTTTGCGTAAAATAACGTTATTAATCGGTTCCCATGCTTTTAAAATAATGCTTCTGTTCCGGAACAGTATAGATCACTTTCGTTCCCGGTTCTGATTCTGTTCCTCAAAATATGTTAGGGTTTTTGGTTCTGTTCCCTGAACCAGGGTTGCCAGGTCTAGCTAAAATGTCCAGAAATGACCACTAGCCCCCGTAAACTGGTGGGGCGTGACAGGTATATGGCCAATATACCACGGCTAAGGGCTGTTCATAAGCATGACACAACACAGAGTGCCTGGATACAGCCGTTAGCCGTGGTATATTGGCCATTTACCACAAACCCCAGGGGTGCTTATTGCTACTATAAACTGGTTACCAACGTAATTAGAACAGTAAAAAGTACTTTTTTGTCATACCCGTGGTATATGGTCTGATATACTATGGCTTTCAGCCAATCAGCATTCAGGGCTCGAACCAGGTTTATAATTGTAAATAAATCCCCTTTGCGCATATGTATAACTATAGATACATCCGACAGGACAGTTTGAGTGATGAAAGTTGGACAGAGGATCTCGAATTTCTGAGCAAGAAACACTTGGACGAACATTAAAAAAAAAATGTTAGGCTATTTTCTGGCAATTGTGCTGTTATTGTGTGCCAGATGTTAAGACTGCAAACTGTTATAAATGGCTCATTTGCAAGATTGACTTGTCATTTCAATAGGCATAGGCTACAGACTAAAATCTGGGTTTATGATCGTAACTAAACTTTGCCATGGTTTGTTTAGATAAAGGCAGGTAGCCTATAGCCCCTGATAGGCCTACATCTAATTTCAGATAGTCTACAGTAGCCTAGATAAGATGTAGGCAAGATGTCAACTGAACGATTTAGCAGCTTACTTAGTTCAAATTAACAGACACATTTATTCAACATGAATAGTGAGGCGATTTTGAGGTAAGAAGTGTTTCCCAACAGCCTACTGGAATAGGCTACTGAGGATGGTGTCATAATTTCAATCACTGAATTACATTTTAATAATATGTATATGAGGTGAATATGCTTGTCAACAATAGCCAGTGTTTATTTCTTTTTTCTTTTTTTACCTGTAGCCTAATCTGACTACTGTTACCTCCAATCTAATGCGTTCTAACAACTGATCGGCAATTGCATCAGAGCTTTGATAACTTCCAATTTAATTAACTAAACATGTCCATTAATAATTGCATAATAACATAAGGCTACAACAACAATAAACTGAAGTTATAGGCTATTTATTAAATTGCTTTGCCAGCTCCAGGTAGGCTACACAAGCGGCAAATATTGATTTGCAATGACGACAGTGATATCTTCATTTCAACATATTTATTGTATCAAGTGCTAGCCTACAATGGCATATAAATTAATAGGCTACTTGATGGCCAACAGAGGCAAATGTATCATTCTCCAAATGTTATGTCAGCTTCATTGAGGACTTTTCCCCTTAAAAAGAACCACAAGAGGGTTTTGTTGTGTTAATATGTTTTACGAAAAAAGGTAAGAGATAGATGTCTCCATAATGCACAGGTGATTCGTGGTAACTTAATTGGGGAGGACAGGCTCGTGGTAATGTCATCCGTGACATTGTTTTCAAAGTATCCCAATTTGGCTAGAAAATCGCGAACATGGCAAAACTGCCATGAACTGGTTCCAACCCCTGACTTTAAGCATAGTGTGTAGGGGCGGAGCTTATGTTTAACATACACTGCTCCTCCTCCTCTGTGACTGTGTGCTCCTCCTAATGAAATGCTCAACTCTCGAATTGAAGAGACACATTTGACATTTTAGTCATTTAACAGATGCTCTTATCCAGTGGTGGAAAAAGTACCCAATTGTCATACTTGAGTAAAAGTAAAGATACCTTAATAGAAAATGACTCAAGTAAAAGTGAAAGTCACCCAGTAAAATACTACTTGAGTAAAAGTCTAAAAGTATTTGTTTTAAAATATACTTAAGTATCAAAAGTACATGTAATTGCAAAAATATACTTAAGTATCAAAAGTAAAAGTATGAATCATTTCAAATTGCTTATGTTAAGTGAACCAGACAGCACAATTGTTTAAATTTTTATTTATGGGTAGCCAGGGGCACACTCCAACACAGACATAATTTACAAATGAAGCATTAGTGTTTAGTGAGTCCGCCAGATAAGAGGCAGTAGGGATGACCAGGGATGTTCTCTTAATGAGTGTGTGAATGTTCCTGTCCTGCTAAGCATTCCAAATGTAATAAGTACTTGCTTATTGTTTATAATTTGTACATTTTACTCCTTTTTCTCCCCAATTCCGTGATATCCAATTGGTGCAGTCTTGTCCCATCGCTGCAACTCCCGTACGGACTCGGGAGAGGCGAAGGTCGAGAGCCATGCCTCCTCCGAAACAGGACCCCGCCAAGCCGCACTACTTCTTGACACACTGCTCGCTTAACCCGGAAGCCAGCCGCACCAACCTGTGGGATGAAACACCGTACAACTGGCGACCGTATCAGCGTGAATGCGCCCGACCCGCCACTGGAGTCGCTAGACATGCCGGCCGGCCAAACCCTCCCCTAGCGACGCTGGGCCAATTGTGCGTCGCCTCATTGGTCTCCCAGTCGTGGCCGGCTGCGACACAGCCCGGGATCGAACTGTAATGACTACTTTTGAGTGACAGGAAAAATTTATGGAGTAAATTGTACATTATTTTCTTTAGGAATGTAGTGAAGTAAAAGTTGTCAAAAATATATATTGTAAAGTAAATTACAGATACCCCCCAAAACTACTTAAGTAGTACTTTAAATAATTTTTTCTTAAGTACTTTACACCACTGCTCTTATCCAGAGCGTATTATGGTGCTATTGCCACGTTCAAAAATAACTGGGAGCTCGGAAATCTCCGACTTCCGACTTCAGTTTGTTCAACTGGGAACTTGGAAAAAACGAGCTTCAACTGGGAAAAATCGTTTTTTTCAGAGTTCCTTGTTTTTTTTAAAACGCATTGAAGTCAGAGATTTCCGAGTCCCCAATTCTCCGTTGTTTGAACGCAGCATTACTGTAGTGAATGCATAAAAAAAAAAATCGTAGCCTACATGGAAACGTTAATACGCGAATATAAACCTCGCAGCTCGAATGTGATATGCGCATCCACATAATTATTGGCATTATTAGCCTAGGCGTACTCAAACATTGCGATTTTGACATTCGAGGTGTGCTTATGTTATTTGTATTTAACTACACAGCCCATTACTTGCACCAACTTTTCATTATACGATGTGTGAATTCTATAGTCAAATTTAGACGCCAACAAATCATAGTATTTGGGTAATTTTTTATTCACTTAAGTTTTTGAATGTTTTCTTTTATCGTCTGCTCCAATCCGTGGTTATGCACGCGGAACCTTTCCCATCAATTCAGGTGGCACATCGGATGAATTTGCACTGCGCACTCACTCACCAAGCGCCGCATTTTTGAAACATGGCAGCACAGGTGAGTCGGCATCATGCATTTATAAAAAATTATTAGTAATGTCCCCCCTGTTTTTGAGATCGTAAACTATAGCGATGTTACATTTATTATGCGAATATGTTAGACTTAATCGCTTTCTCAGGTCCTGCCCTGAACAGGATGATAGTGTTGGGAAGTTCTATGAATGAAGCTAGCTAGCTACCGTTAGCTAGCTAACATGCAACCGTTAGCGTGCTAGCGCTTGCAGACGTTATTGTACCTTTTTACAAATCAACATAGGGGAAGTGATCCGATTATTTTACTAATATAATGACGCAGATAATGTTATTACTGCAACGTTGATTACCAGCTTGAGATGCTGTGTAATGTTGACAGTTGGCTTAGCCAAAGTTAACGTTAGTTAGCATTGAAGGGCCAGCGGTTTACGGTTTTGGCGAACTTTGTTGTGGGTAGGTTCTATCACTATGACAACCAATTGACCGACTGAGCAGCTCTAGTTAAGCACATCGTTTCTAAACTTCTCAGCGTTAGTTTACTGCATATTTACCTGCCCAAACTTACCTCAATAATCAGAACACAAATGTTATCACAATTAAACAGATGGCGACTACAAAGGTTCCAGAGGTCCGTGACATCACGAGGATTGAGAGAATCGGTAAGGGCCACAAAGTAATAGTCAATTGATCTCTACTAAGTCCAGAGATGTGTTTTGCGTTGTATCTATTGTATTTACACAAGTGTCTAAATCATAAACTCCATATTTCAAAAAATGTCCACCTCTAACATGTGGCTGAATGTTTGTATTTCCCCATTAGGAGCTCATTCTCACATCCGTGGCCTTGGGTTGGATGATGCCTTGGAACCTCGTCAGGTAAACAACCAACAATCATAATCCGACTTTCTCAAACTACTGTGACACCACTCAGACACTGGCCCCATGTTTTGTGGTCCCGCCTAAATCATGTGACCTGCTTGTCATTCTCTGCCCTCTCTCTCCTCTCCCCCAACCCCCCCTCCCCTCCAGGTTTCCCAGGGGATGGTTGGACAGCTGGCGTCCCGTCGTGCAGCTGGTCTCATCCTGGAGATGATTAAAGATGGCCACATCGCCGGCAGGGCTGTCCTGATCGCTGGCCAACCTGGCACTGGGAAAACTGCCATCGCTATGGGTACTGATGGATGGCTCATTAAGTTAAATCAAATGTTATTTGTCACATGCGCCGAATACAACAGGTGTAGACCTTACAGTGAAATGCTTACTTACAAGCCCTTAACCAACAATGCAGTTTTAAGAAAGAATACCAAAAAAAATCAACGTTGCAACTCCCGTACAGACTCGGGAGAGGCGAAGGTCGAGAGCCACGCGTCCTCTGGAACTACTGTGCGTTAGTTTACTGACAAAACTCGTAAATGGGATGAAAGAAACCAAAACGTGTTTCTCAGAAGTGTAGCAAAGGTTGCAAACAATGTGCATGCTGCAAACAGTGTCCACCCCGAAAATGTTAATGGGAAGACTGGAATAAAAAAGATTTAATGCAGTAACAGAAATTACCGTAACCAAACTAACAAACATTGTAGATTAGAAATTATAGGAATTAACGGTACATGTACTACTGGTGATATATGTAATGGGGGAAGTGATATACACTAACAATCAAACGCAAACAATTCACTCAATGAAGTTATGAAACAATGAATGTGCACAAATTGGCGGGAGAAAGCGCATTCTGGAGTGCATCTGGGCATATGGTCAATCCGACGTCTGCATTGGCCATGCAGTATTTACGGTGACATGGCCTCAGTAGAAGTCAGGGCATTCATACTTGTTGCTCTTCGCGGAGCAGTGCAGAGCTGTTGTCAAGGAAGTGAGTTTGCAGTTTTCTACAGGATGTATGGCCCCCACCTACCGTCAACCAATCATGTCAATGCAGAGTTATGCAGAGCCCTCTGCATTGTTACATTTGGGAGGCGCATGGCGATGCGGTACAGAGCTTGATTTGGTCTCTGCATGCCTCTGGAGGCTCCGCAATTGCGTCACACCCTCCATAAGGAGCCTCCCGAACACATTTTCGGATCATGCCTAAAATGGCTTTTAGTCTAGGCCTCCGCAATGGATTAGTTCACTGAGATGGGCATATACAGTATCTCACAAAAGTGAGTACACCCCTCACATTTTTGTAAATATTTGAGTATATCTTTTCATGTGACAACACTGAAGAAATGATACTTTGCTACAATGTAAAGTAGTGAGTGTACAGCTTGTATAACAGTGTAAATTTGCTGTCCCCTCAAAATAACTCAACACACAGCCATTAATGTCTAAACCGCTGGCAACAAAAGTGAGTACACCCCTAAGTGAAAAAGTCCAAATTGGGCCCAATTAGCCATTTTCCCTCCCCGATGTCATGTGACTCGTTAGTGTTACAAGGTCTCAGGTGTGAATGGGGAGCAGGTGTGTTAAATTTGGTGTCATCGCTCTCACACTCCCTCATACTGGTCACTGGAAGTTCAACATGGCACCTCATGGCAAAGAACTCTGAGGATCTGAAAAAAAGAATTGTTGCTCTACATAAAGATGGCCTATATATATATATATGTGTGTATATATGTATATATATGTGTATATATACGTATATATGTGTGTATATATGTGTATATATACGTATATATGTGTGTGTATATATACATGTACGTGTGTATTTATGTGTGTGTGTGTATATATATATATATATATATATATATATATACGTATATATATATATATACGTATATGTGTATGTATATATATATGTGTGTGTGTATATGTATGTGTGGTATACACTACCGTTCAAAAGTTTGGGGTCACTTACAAATGTCCTTGTTTTCGAAAGAAAAGCAATTTCTTTGTCCAGTAAAATGACATCAAATTGATCAGAAATACAGTGTAGACATTGTTAATGTTGTAAATGGCTATTGTAGCTGGAAACTGTAGATTTTTTGTGGAATATCTACATAGGTGTACAGAAGCCCATTATCAGCAACCATCAGTCCTGTGTTCCAATGGCACGTTGTGTTTGCTAATCCAAGTTTATCATTTTAAAAGGCTACTTGATCATTAGAAAACAATTTTGCAATTATGTTAGCAAAGCTGAAAACTTTTGTGCTGATTAAAGAAGCAATAAAACTGGCCTTCTTGAGACTAGTTGAGTATCTGGAGCATCAGCAGTTGTGGGTTCGATTACAGGCTCAAAATGGCCAGAAAAAAAGAACTTTCTTCTTAAACTCGTCAGTCTATTCTTGTTCTGAGAAATGAAGGCTATTCCATGCGAGAAATTGCCAAGAAACTGAAGATCTCGTACAACGCTGTGTACTACTCCCGTCACAGAACAGCACAAACTGGCTCTAACCAGAATAGAAAGAGGAGTGGGAGGCCCCGGTGCACAACTGAGCAAGAGGACAAAATACATTAGTGTCTAGTTTGAGAAACCGATGCCTCACAGGTCCTAAACTGGCAGCTTCATTATATAGTACCCGCAGAACATCAGTCTCAACGTCAACAGTGAAGAAGCGACTCCGGGATGCTGACCTTCTAGGCAGAGTTTCTAATGATCAATTAGCCTTTTAAAATGATAAAACTGTAAGTCGCTCTGGATAAGAGCGTCTGCTAAATGACTAAAATGTAAAATGAAACAATTAAATTGGATAAGCAAACACAACCTGCCATTGGAACACAGGACTGATGGTTGTTGATAATGGGCCTCTGTACGCCTATGTAGATATTCCATAAAAATTCAGCCGTTTCCAGCTACAATAGCAATTTACAACATTAACAATGTCTACACTGTATTTCTGATCAATTTGATGTTATTTTAATGGACAAATGTTTTTTTTTTTTTTTTTTAAACAATGCCATTTCTATGTGACCCCAAACTTTTGAACAGTAGTGTGTGTATATATGTCACTGCTCGACTAATATGATCTCGGTCGACCAACAGCCTAACGCCCAAACATCGACCAGTCGACTAAATGGTGTCAACCCTATTGCAGCTTTAAATCTCTCTTTGAGTACAGCTGTCTGGTTGATGTTGACTTCATCAAATATTTATCCTCTTAAACAGTTTAAGGTTTAAAACTTGTAGACTGGTATAGATGAAGTTGCTATTATACAACTTTTTGATAACATACTTTTTAAACGATTAAACTTTTCTATCTTAAAAAAAACTCATCCACTGTCATGGGATTTCTTCAACATTCTAAAGGTCCCATTGTTAAAAACACCGACTACCAACATTCTAGTCACTGTAAAAAAAGAAATGACACTTTTGCAAAAATCAGCTACTTTGACCACATTACCAATAAGTTATACAAAAACTTAGAGGGTGTGGACTCTACTTCTCTGCTTTTCACATCTAAAATCAGAACAGAAATATATTCTACCGATCAAATGTTACAGCTGTTTTAGTAACCGCATCGACTACATTTTCTCAACATTTTAAAAAATCACTGACATTTTGACCACTTTCCCAACAAGTTAGAGCGCATTAAATAGAGCGCATTAATTCTTAGTCTGCTTTTCCAATTTAAAATCAGAACTCTTCTTCCACTACAACAAAAATACTTTTAATGAACTAAAGAAAGTCCCAACATTTTTCTTCATGGAGGGTTAAGCATCATCAAAATACATTTGATGAAAATAATTTGGATTTACCTGTTTATTTGATTCTGTTGTTGATAATGGTGATCCCTCTCTTGCCTGTCCAGGTATTGCCCAGTCCCTTGGCCCAGACACCCCCTTCACAGCCATGGCCGGCAGTGAGATCTTCTCTCTGGAGATGAGTAAGACCGAGGCCCTCAGTCAGGCCTTCAGGAAAGCCATTGGAGTCAGGATCAAGTGAGTTCAGTCTTCTGCTCAGTTCACTTTATTGGCCTCATTTAGGAATTTGTCATGTGTTTTTAAGTTAACAATCAACGTTTATACACCACAGTGTGAGAACGAGGGAATGGAGTCTACATTAGTATTTCTTTTTGGTGTGTTTTTGTTCTTGCATTTATTGATATTCATGGTGTGTGTGTGTGTGTTTTCAGAGAGGAGACTGAGATCATTGAAGGAGAAGTGGTGGAGATACAGATTGACAGGCCAGCCACTGGAACGGTGAGTTCTGACTCAGGCCCTCTCTCTCTCAGCCCCCCTCTCAACTCTCTCTCTGTGCTCTGTCTCTCTCTCTCTCTCTCTGTTTAGTGTGAGTCATACTCATAAGGTGTGTATTGGAGAGATGTATTGATTGGCCAATTTAATTTGAGTCTGTGATTGTCTTCTGATAAGACTCCATCAATCATTTAGAGAGACAGATTGGCGATAAGAGAGAGACTGTTCTGTTAGTATTTAATTTAACAGCAGCAGCCTTATTACAGATGCGAATCACAGTGAAAGGATATTCATTTTGGGGAGCTGATAATATGATTTCTGGTTTGGAATATTTTGGCTGCACTCAGATGTTTCATAACAGTTATTTAAACTTCAGTGTTCATCCGTTGCTCAATACAGCACACAGCGCCAGAGTTTTTAGCACACTTGAGGTTAAAGTATCAAACAAAATGTTTTGTCACGTATAGCATCTTTCCCATTTCCCAGTAAACTTTCTAACCTGTTGTTGTTGCTGCTCGTAGGGTGCCAAAGTGGGTAAGCTGACCTTGAAGACTACAGAGATGGAGACTATCTATGACCTGGGCAGTAAGATGATCGAGAGCCTCAGTAAAGAACGCGTTCAGGCTGGGTGAGTTCTTCTAAAGTGTAGGACACACTCATCATCCACTAGGGGCCATTGACCATGGTCCCGTGTAGCTCAATTGGTAGAGCATGGTGCTTGCAATGCCAGGGTTGTGGGTTCGATTCCCACGGGGGGCCAGCATGGGGAAGGGGGGAAAAAAATGTATGCACTCACTAAGTCGCTCTGGATAAGATCGTCTGCTAAATGACTAAAATGTAAACGTAATGGTCGTGTTCATTGGGACATAACGTAATAAAACAGCGTTTAGTTATTGGACAGGTCCAGGTAGACCCTCCCGGTTTCGGTCCGTTTTCTTCACTTGGTGCCTAATGAACACAATAAAGATCTTTATTCTATGCTCTGTGGTGTTATGACTTTGTTGAGTCCATTCAGCACTATAAATCCAAAGACTTCTTTCCCAGGGATGTGATCACCATTGATAAAGCCACAGGGAAGATCAGCAAGCTTGGCCGCTCCTTCACCAGAGCCAGAGACTACGATGCTATGGGAGCACAGGTACACATTGGTCCTAGACACTTGTAATCATTCATGTCATATTTTACAGTGGCACGATACAACTGAACATTGAATCGAGCTCCAATCAGTTATAGTCAGCATCACTGCTATCTGCATTAAAGTGAATGTACGATTGCCTAGGTTTCATGGGTGGGCATTTTAATTATGGCATGTGTAAAAAATAAATCTACTGTTTGCTTTGTGCTCCTCCAGACACAGTTTGTCCAGTGTCCTGAGGGGGAGCTGCAGAAGAGGAAGGAGGTGGTGCACACAGTGTCCCTCCATGAGATAGATGTGATCAACAGCCGTACACAGGGGTTCCTGGCCCTGTTCTCTGGTGATACCGGAGAGATCAAGTCTGAGGTCCGCGAACAGATCAATGCCAAGGTGTCTGAGTGGAGGGAGGAGGGAAAGGCTGAGATCATCCCCGGGGTGAGTCTGTGTGTGTTGGTGGTTTCCCAGACATAGACTAAGCATAGTCATGGACTAAAAAGCTTGCTCGATTCTCCATTGAAAGTGGAGACTAGACTTAATCTATGTCTGGAAAACTGGGCCGAAATGGTCCGTATTTAATGTTCAGTTGAAAGCCCTCCTGTATAGTGAGTTCTTTATTTTTGTCATTCCAGGTGCTGTTCATCGACGAGGTGCACATGCTGGACATGGAGTGTTTCTCCTTTCTGAACCGAGCCCTGGAGAGTGACCTTTCACCTGTTCTCATCATGGCCACCAACAGAGGCATCACACGGTAATTTTCGACCCTACAGTCTTCGACTGCTCCCACTATAATCTGGGTGTGGATATGGGCCACGGAAAGAACATGATGGTGACATGTTTAGAACCTGCATAAAGAGAAAATATAGTTTTGCCAGTAGTTTAAAGGGGCGATATGTGATTGGTTCATCCATTTTTAGAATTTTAAAATAATGATGCTGTTTATACCATTTTATTCTTTACGAATATAACTTATAAAGGCCTCAGTAGTTTATTTGAACTGTTTTACCCCATCAGAACCCCAAATAAAAGCTTGTTTTACTCCATAGTTTGTAAACAATGGGTCAATCCATATATGATTTCAATCACTTTCTGACTGCACCCCTTTTGATTTGAACAAAACCTTCCATACATGTTTGCCCATGGTAGAAGTTGTCAAAAAGTTACTAATTGGACCTGAATGCCAGAACATTCAGGAGATGGAGGTGCTCAAAGTTGACCCATTTTGCATACCCCACCCTACCATGAGACATCCATGTCTTCATCACTGAAGAAGATAAACAGTTAGGTTTGATATAATTTGAAAGCTTACGAACAGGGTAGTCAGACTATTTTAGAATTTCTTGAATTATAATTATTTTGTCAAAAGTGTCATTTTTTAAAACCTTTAACATCAATGATCTAAAAACGCGTTTTTCAAATACAGTGCCGTGAAAAAGTATTTGCCCCCTTCCAGATTTTTCAACCAAAACCTAATATTAGATAAAGGGAACCTGAGTGAACAAATAACACAAACGTGATACTTATTTCATTTATTTAATAAACAAAGTTATGCAACATCCAATGCCCCTGTGTAAAAAGTAATTCCCCCCTTACACTCGATAACAGGTTGTACCACCTTTAGCTGCAATGACTGCAACCAAACGCTTCCTGTAGTTTGTGATCAGTCTCTCACATCGTTGTGGAGTAATTTTGGCCCACTCTGGCAGAACTACTTTAACTCAGACATTTGTTGGTTTTCGAGCATAAACTGCTCGTTTCAGGTCCTGCCACGACATCTCAATCGGGTTTAGGTCTGGACTTTGACTAGGCCATTCCAAAACTTGAAATGTGTTGCTTTACAGCCTTTCTGATGTAGACTTGCTTGTGTCTTTTGGATCATTGTCTTGCTGTATGACCCAGCTGCGATTCAGCTCACGGATGGATGGCCTGACATTCTCTGCTGGGGCCTCCTGAGTGGCGCAGCGGTCTAAGGCACTGCATTGCAGTGCTAGAGGCGTCACTACAGACCTGGGTTCGATCCCAGGCTGTGTCGCAGTCGGCCGAGACCGGGAGACCCTTGAGGTGGCGCACAATTGGCCCAGCGTGGTCCGGGTTAGGGGAGGGTTTGGCCGGCCGGGATGTACTTGTCCCATCGCGCTCTAGCGACTCCTTGTGGCGGGCCGGGCGCATCTACGCTGACTTCAGTCGGTAGTTGTACAGTGTTTCCTCCGCCACGTTGGTGTGGCTGGCTTCAGAGTTAAGTGAGCAGTGTGTCAAGAATCACTACGGCTTGGCAGGGTCGTGTTTTGGAGGACGCATGGCTCTCGACCTTCGCCTCTCCCGAGTCCATACGGGAGTTGCAGTGCCAATTGGATATCACGAAATTGGGGAGAATAAAAATACTAAAAAATGTCTCTGATGCAGAGCAGAATTCATGATTCCTTCAAGGATGGCAAAGTTGTCCAAGTCCTGTGGTTGCAAAGCATCTCCAAACCATGAGATTGTTACTGTAGAATTCAGTGTTTGGTTTTCGCCAGACATTACGGGACCCCTGCCGTCCAGTTCTGACCACTTCTACCACGGGCAAATATGTATGGAAGGTTTTGTTCAAATCAAAAGGGCTGCAGTCAGAAAATGATTCAATTCATATACTGTAGAACGACCCCAATGAAATTGTAAACAAACACTGTATAGCCTCAAACATGGTTAACTATAATATCATGGATGGTTAGTCTTTACATCCATAGCCCTGTCTATTAATTTAAGATTGGTTACATTTCTCTATCCCCATCCCTCAGCTGTTTACTGAAACCAAGTGGGGGGTTGAAAGCTTTGTTATTGTTTGGACTGCAGATTGCCCCTTTAAAGTAGTGCTTCTCAAGAATGGCAAATACTCAGTCTTTCTCTCTTTCCCTCTGTTCTGTCAGTATCCGAGGCACCAACTACCAGAGTCCCCATGGTATCCCCATAGATCTACTGGACCGCCTCCTCATCATCGCTACCTCCCCCTACACTGAGAAAGAGACACGGCAGATCCTCAAGATCCGGTGAGAATCACCCCTCTAACTCGCCAAGCCTGGGCTTTAGCAAGCAAACAAGCTGCACCATGACTTACATGATTTAAGTTTGCAGACAGTCTGCAAAGTTCAAGGCAATTATGGGTTTGAACTGATGTATCATGCCATATCGGATGACCGTGGATGATTCAGGATTAAAACCTATTCCAATATTGGACTGAAACACCATCTGAAATGTGTTTCTACTGTGTGTGTCCGTCCAGGTGTGAGGAGGAGGATGTGGAGCTGAGTGAGGAGGCTCACACTGTCCTGACACGTATCGGCCAGGAGACATCGCTGCGTTACGCCATTCAGCTCATCAGCACTGCAGGACTGGTGTGTCGCAAGCGCAGGGTGAGTCTCAGCCAATTCATTCATACTCACTTACCTAGTAATGCACGGGGGGGAGCAAAGCCTCTCACATCCATACACACACTGATGTTAGAATTACTCTGAATTCTCATGTTTGTTTCTCCTTATATATCCTTATTTTACCTGCTTCATTGTTTAATGCATACACCGACATGCCACCATCGATTACGTTGGAGAACTGTAATGAACGGCTCATCAAAGGGTCCCATTCCTCAGCTACTCGCTTAAGTTCAGTGGCCATTCGCACCATGGTTGCTAAGCGACCAAGCGTTAGTCCTTCCTCCTCATCTCTCGTGTCCTCTTCTCCCTCTTCTCTTTCATCGTCGCTTTGTGGCTTTGTCATTTACCTTCCCTTAGCATGTCCAGAAGTTTAACTTTATCTGAGATAGGTAGCATCTTCCGCCGTTTGGGCCCATCCGCAGGTGCTTTTGTCGGTCCAGGCCGTTTCGTCGACATTATGGGTTTAGGAGATGTTCGAAATTACAAGATAATTTGGCCAACTTAATGTAAATTTGCCAAGCTGTTTTATGTACGTACACATAACTGCACGAGACGACAAAATGATAGCACAATTCGTAGCATGTTTTGATACAAGAAGCGGGAGTGAGTTTTTAGCGAATCAGAATGCAGAGCACAATGCACCTATTCATTCAAGTCTACATTAGTTATTGAAGGACAGAACTAACAGATAGCTGGGCAGGGCACCCCTAGTCTTCTTGATTACTGCTTTCTTGCTGTGGAACCATTTCTATGTTGATGCTGAGAGTTGCCAGTGCGTGATAGATGTTTGTGCTTCTCTCTCAGGGAACGGAGGTGCAGGTGGAGGACATTAAGAGGGTCTACTCTCTCTTCCTGGACGAGTCCAGATCCTCACAGTACATGAAGGAGTACCAAGATTCCTACCTTTTCAATGAAACAACACGTGAGTCTGCTATTCATCTCTGTCATAGAGCAGTGTTTCTTAGGGGTCCCAAAGGGGTGCACATTTGTTTTTGCCCTAGCACTACACACCTGATTCCACTCAGACCCAGTTACAAAGCTGATGATGTTCCTGTAGTTTGTGAGGCGGACATTTTTATTCTTGAAAGCAACTTTGATAGAAGTTGGCAAATGTTTTCACTGTAAGTTGAAAAGGTCATAACATGCTACTACGTGAATAGACGCCTTACCTACATCTATGGGAAATGCACCTTATAGATGTGCTTTGAGGGCAGGTGTAATGGGTTGAAGTGACTCTTACTGTATCTCTTTTTGATTTTCAGAACCTACAATGGACACCTCTTAATTGATACAGACTGCAGATCATTTTTATAGCACGTTCTCCTGTGAAGTTCTTCTGTTTTTTGTTTTGTTGCCATAGTCCATTGACGTTCTCCATTAAGACCTTATGGCTGAAATATCCATTCCTCTGATACTGTGTTGACTTACCTCTGTCTTTAGATGTCGTTTATTGTTTAATGGAGTTTAAATGTACATGAAACCTACTTTTTGATTACATGTTGTTTTTCTCGTTGATTTTATGCAAGAATTGCCTAAAATGTAGTGTTATCATGCATTGATTTACGACACTTAACTTCATGAAACAAAGGCAATGTAGACGTTGGCAATGTTCTTTTAAAGAGTTGAGTAAAATGTTTTGGATTTGAAATATATTTTCTCTGTCACAAAGACCTCAAGTGCTATGTACAGTACATCCATGGTCTCCCTACTACAAAGCTAGCCTCATGGGGTACCCCTTTTGTTACATCAGGATGTGGTGTGCTTTTTGTTTTGTTTTTTGTGTGAAATAAAATTAGTATCTCAAAGACCGTAGTTGGCACTGCCTCTTTTGTCTGTGCATCTCTGTACTGTAGTGGAAGTACCACTAGATGGCAGTGAAGGGCCATGTCTCATCCTGGCACATCTCCGAAGCTCAAGGGGGCTCTATGGCTTGTTACAAGTTCTTCATTAGGGCTGGCAATTGCCAGGGACCTCATAATATGATATTGTCACAGTACTTGGGTGCCGATACGATATGAATTGCGATTCTCACGTTTCTATATGTATAGCGATTTGATGTTCCGAACTTATTGCTCACTATGTTTGCTGCAGAGAGATGAGAGCTCATGAGAAAGAGTTTACAGTCATGGAAATAAAAGTGCAGAAAAGGATGACAAATACCGAGGTTTTGGCACAGGTACAGCCGACTAGCGCTAGCTAACGCTACCTAGCAAAAATAATAATAATCGAATATCGATATACAGTGGGGAAAAAAAGTATTTAGTCAGCCACCAATTGTGCAAGTTCTCCCACTTAAAAAGATGAGAGGCCTGTAATTTTCATCATAGGTACATGTCAACTATGACAGACAAAATGAGAAAGAAAATTCCAGAAAATCACATTGTAGGATTTTTTATTAATTGATTTGCAAATTATGGTGGAAAATAAGTATTTGGTCAATAACAAAAGTTTCTCAATACTTTGTTATATACCCTTTGTTGGCAATGACACAGGTCAAACATTTTCTGTAAGTCTTCACAAGGTTTTCACACACTGTTGCTGGTATTTTGGCCCATTCCTCCATGCAGATCTCCTCTAGAGCAGTGATGTTTTGGGGCTGTCGCTGGGCAACACAGACTTTCAACTCCCTCCAAAGATTTTCTATGGGGTTGAGATCTGGAGACTGGCTAGGCCACTCCAGGACCTTGAAATGCTTCTTACGAAGCCACTCCTTCGTTGCCCGGGCGGTGTGTTTGGGATCATTGTCATGCTGAAAGACCCAGCCACGTTTCATCTTCAATGCCCTTGCTGATGGAAGGAGGTTTTCAGTCAAAATCTCACGATACATGGCCCCATTCATTCTTTCCTTTACACGGATCAGTCGTCCTGGTCCCTTTGCAGAAAAACATCCCCAAAGCATGATGTTTCCACCCCCGTGCTTCACAGTAGGTATGGTGTTATTTGGATGCAACTCAGCATTCTTTGTCCTCCAAACACGACGAGTTGAGTTTTTACCAAAAAGTTCTATTTTGGTTTCATCTGACCATATGACATTCTCCCAATCCTCTTCTGGATCATCCAAATGCACTCTAGCAAACTTCAGACGGGCCTGGACATGTACTGGCTTAAGCAGGGGGACACGTCTGCCACTGCAGGATTTGAGTCCCTGGCGGCGTAGTGTGTTACTGATGGTAGGCTTTGTTACTTTGGTCCCAGCTCTCTGCAGGTCATTCACTAGGTCCCCCCGTGTGGTTCTGGGATTTTTGCTCACCGTTCTTGTGATCATTTTGACCCCACAGGGGTGAGATCTTGCGTGGAGCCCCAGATCGAGGGAGATTATCAGTGGTCTTGTATGTCTTCCATTTCCTAATAATTGCTCCCACAGTTGATTTCTTCAAACCAAGCTGCTTACCTATTGCATATTCAGTCTTCCCAGCCTGGTGCAGGTCTACAATTTTGTTTCTGGTGTCCTTTGACAGCTCTTTGGTCTTGGCCATAGTGGAGTTTGGAGTGTGACTGTTTGAGGTTGTGGACAGGTGTCTTTTATACTGATAACAAGTTCAAACAGGTGCCATTAATACAGGTAACAAGTGGAGGACAGTGGAGCCTCTTAAAGAAGAAGTTACAGGTCTGTGAGAGCCAGAAATCTTGCTTGTTTGTAGGTGACCAAATACTTATTTTCCACCATAATTTGCAAATAAATTCATTTTTTTTCTCAATTTGTCTGTCATAGTTGACGTGTACCTATGATGTAAATTACAGGCCTCTCTCATCTTTTTAAGTGGGAGAACTTGCACAATTGGTGGCTGACTAAATACTTTTTTCCCCCACTGTACATACATACATACAGTGAGGGAAAAAAGTATTTGATCCCCTGCTGATTTTGTACGTTTGCCCACTGACAAAGACATGATCAGTCGATAATTTTAATGGTAGGTTTATTTGAACAGTGAGAGACAGAATAAAAACAAATAAATCCAGAAAAACGCATGTCAAAAATGTTATGAATTGATTTGCATTTTAATGAGGGAAATAAGGATTTGACCCCTCTGAAAAACATGATTTAGTACTTGGTGGCAAAACCCTTGTTGGCAATCAAAGAGGTCAGACGTTTCTTGTAGTTGGCCACCAGGTTTGCACACATCTCAGGAGGGATTTTGTCCCACTCCTCTTTGCAGATCTTCTCCAAGTCATTAAGGTTTCGAGGCTGACGTTTGGCAAATCGAACCTACAGCTCCCTCCACAGATTTTCTATGGGATTAAGGTCTGGAGACTGGCTAGGCTACTCCAGGACCTTAATGTGCTTCTTCTTGAGCCACTCCTTTGTTGCCTTGGCCATGTGTTTTGGGTCATTGTCATGATGGAATACCCATCCACGACCCATTTTCAATGCCCTGGCTGAGGGAAGGAGGTTCTCACCCAAGATTTGACGGTACATGGCCCCATCCATCGTCCCTTTGATGCGGTGAAGTTGTCCTGTCCCCTTAGCAGAAAAACACCCCCAATGCATAATGTTTCCACCTCCATGTTTGACGGTGGGGATGGTGTTCTTGGGGTCATAGGCAGCATTCCTCCTCCTCCAAACACGGCGAGTTGAGTTGATGCCAAAGAGCTCCATTTTGGTCTCATCTGACCACAACACTTTCACCCAGTTCTCCTCTGAATCATTCAGATGTTCATTGGCAAACTTCAGATGGGCATGTATATGTGCTTTCTTGAGCAGGGGGACCTTGCTGGCGCTGCAGGACTTCAGTTCTTCACGGCGTAGTGTGTTACCAATTGTTTTCTTGGTGACTATGGTCCCAGCTGCCTTGAGATCATTGACAAGATCCTCCCGTGTAGTTCTGGGCTGATTCCTAACCGTTCTCATGATCATTGCAACTCCACGAGGTGAGATCTTGCATGGAGCCCCAGGCCGAGGGAGATTGACAGTTATTTTGTGTTTCTTCCATTTGCAAATAATTGCACCAACTGTTGTCACCTTCTCACCAAGCTGCTTGGCGATGGTCTTGTAGCCCATTCCAGCCTTGTAGGTCTACAATCTTGTCCCTGACATCATTGGAGAGCTCTTTGGTCTTGGCCATGGTGGAGAGTTTGGAATCTGATTGATTGATTGCTTCTGTGGACAGGTGTCTTTTAAACAGGTAACAAGCTGAGATTAGGAGCACTCCCTTTTATAGTGTGCTCCTAATCTCAGCTCGTTACCTGTATAAAAGACACCTGGGAGCCAGAAATCTTTCTGATTGAGGGGGGGTCAAATACTTATTTCCCTAATCAATGTATAACATTTTTGACATGCGTTTTTCTGGATTTTGTTGTTGTTATTCTGTCTCTCAAAAAAATTATAGACTGATCATTTCTTTGTCAGTGGGCAAACGTACAAAATCAGCAGGGGATCAAATACTTTTTTCCCTCACTGTAGAAATGCATTGAATGACAGATTCGTATATGGAAAAGCAGTCCAGAAATAAATAAAGAACTATGTTTTGAAGTGTCTGTCCTATATCTGAGAGATGTAAGAAAGGTCATGATTTATCTAATACATTTTAACCGTGGAATTATCCCCATTCAATTTTCGGCCCGCTACCGGGTTACTTTCAGACGAGTCCCGTGACACTTGTGGGGGTTGTACAGAAAAATGGAGAACACTTTCCATAGAGGAGCCCAAACCATTTGGACATTTTCGTTAGAAGACCGATTTTTCGGGATATCTCCTGGTCTGACAAACTGCGCTGTGAAAGGCCGACATCAGCGGATGAGGTGGATTGCAAAATAAACATATCTCCCATGCAAAAAAAACATATCTCTAGTTTAAACAGATGTTTTTTATGATGCTAATTAGATTTACGCGGGGGGACGGACATTGACTATGATGCCAGTGTGTTAAAAAATTACAGTGCGGAACAAAGGGCCAGACTGCTGTGAACGGAAAGAGGAATTGGGTAAAAAAAAAAATCCTGGAGCCTACAGACTTATTTGGAGGGGGAGGGAGGCATAGGAGAGACCGTGAAGGAAGGAGGCTGACAGACAGGCTGGCTTGGAGGGAGTCAAAGGGGGGGACAGTGAGGGGAAAACTGTCTGTCTTCCTGGGTGGTGAATGGGTGTGGAGGGGTCTCAGGGATGAGATAAGGATAGGTCTTGGAGTGTGTGTAGTAGGCTATAGGGTTTCCCCAGTGTCACTCTGAGTACAATTCTAAACCAACCATTAACATTCCACAGTGAATGGCTCAGTCAGCACTAACATGAATGGTAATGATGGGAATAATTTACAGAGAGAGAGGGATCTCCTGATCAGGGCTCAGTATAAAGAACATCAGTAAGAAAATAGTACACAGATAATGAGAACATACTGAGTATACAAAACATTAAGAACATCTGTTCTTTCCATGACATAAACTGACAAGGTGAAAGCTATGATCCCTTATTGATGCCCCTTGTTAAATCCACTTCAATCAGTGTAGATGAAAGGGAGGAGACAGGTTAAAGAAGGATTTGTAAGCCTTGAGACAATTGAGACATGGATTGTGTATGTGTGCCATTCAGAGGGTGAATGGGCAAGTGCCTTTGAACAGGGTATGGCAGTAGGTGCCAGGCGCACCGTTTTGTGACAAGAACTGTAACGCTGCTGGGTTTTTAATGCGCAACAGTTTCCCGTGTGTATCAAGAATTGTCCACCACCCAAAGGACATCCAGCCAACTTGACACAACTGTGGGAAGCATTGGAGTCAACATGGGCTAGCATACCTGTGGAATGCTTTCGACACCTTGTAGAGTCCATACCCCGACGAATTGAGGCTGTTCTTAGGGCAAAAGTGGGGTGGTACTCAATACTAGGAAGGTGTTCCTAATGTTTGGTATACTCAGTGTAT